CTCAGTGGTGAGCTCTTCCACCAACTCTTCCACATCCTCCAAACTCACATCCAACCCCATGGAACTCCCCAGTACCACAACTGATTTAACAACAGACATAGGCTCATCAGGGTCAGTCCCAAACCCTTCAAAATCCCTCTTGTTGACACAATCTGGCCACAATTTTCTCCAAGCAGAGTTCAAAATCCTGGTAGTCACTCCCTCCCAAGCCATACCTATAAGGGTTATGTAATGGAGGATGCTGAAGTGTTCTCTCCAAAATTTCCTTAGGGTCAAGTGAGTGTCTGTGGTCACAGTCAAGCACCTGTGAAACATTGCTTTGGTGTAGAGTTTTTTAAAGTTTGCAATGACCTGCTGGTCCATGGGCCGGAGGAGAGGAGTGGTATTCGGGGGCAAGAACTTTACTGTGATGAACCCAAACTCCTCGAAAATTAGGTCATCCAAGTTTGGAGGATGAGCAGGTGTATAAGAACATAAGAATGTAGGAACACTGCAGAAGGCCTACTGGCCCATACGAGGCAGGTCCTTATCAAAACGACATCTACCTAAAGCTACTCAAGAAATAACTCCCGTACCCCTTGACACCAATCAAACCCAGCCCCTCCCACTCATATATTTGTCCAGTCTCTTCTTAAAGCTACCCAAGGTCCTAACCTCTATCACCCCACTGGGAAGACTGTTCCACGCATCTACAACTCTGTTAGAAAACCAGTACTTACCTATGTCCTTTCTAAATCTAAACTTATCCAACTTAAATCCATTATTCCTGGTTCTTACCTGGTTCGACACCCTCAGTACTTTATAATGTCTCCCTTGTTTATGCCCGTCATCCACTTATACACTTCAATGATATTCCCCTCATTCTACGCCCTCTCCAGAGAGTGGAGATTTAAGGCTTTAAGTCTATCTTCATACGGGAGGTTCCTTACACAGTAAATCATTTTAGTCATTCTTCTCTGTATGTTCTCTAATGAGTCTATGTCCATCCTGTAGTAAGGGGACCAAAACTGAGCAGCATAATCTAAATGAGGCCTCACTAGTGATGTATAGAGCTGTAAAATAACTTTTGGACTTCTGTTACTTATACTTCTTGAGATAAATCCAAGTAATCTGTTGGCCTTGTTGCGCACACTGAGGCACTGCTGTCTTGGCTTTAGATTTCTGCTTACCATGACTCCCAAGTCTTTTTCACATTCTGTATGACCAAGCTCTACTTCACCTAGATTATAGCTTCGAGGGTTATTTTCATTACCAAGGGCAAGTACCTTACACTTATCCACATTAAACTTCATCTGCCATTTCTCAGACCAAGACATTAATTTGTTCAAATCGTCCTGGAGTTCATTGATATCCTCCTCAGAGTGAATTATACGGCCTATCTTTGTATCATCAGCAAACTTACTCATGTCGCTAGTAATCCCTTCATCAAGGTCATTAATGTAAATTATGAACAAGAGAGGGCCTAAAACTGAACCTTGTGGAACGCCACTAGTGACTAATCCCCATTCAGATTTCACTCCATTAATGGTAACTCTCTGCTTTCTATTGGTAAGCCATGCCTCAATCCATGCTAGAACTTTACCTCCTATACCATGAGCTGCCACTTTTCTTAAGAGTCTCTTGTGAGGTACTCTGTCGAAGGCTTTACTAAAATCCAAATAAACAATATCATATTCCTTACCACTGTCAACTGCCTCAAATGTTCTATTGAAGAACGTCAGTAAGTTTGTCAGGCAGGAACGACCTCTCGTGAATCCATGCTGAGATTCATTTATCAAGTTATGCTCTTCAAGGTGACTTCTGATAATGTCAGCTATAATTGATTCTAATAACTTGCCCACTATAGATGTCAGGCTTATTGGACGGTAATTTGAAGGAGTGGACTTATCCCCTGATTTGAATATAGGAACCACATTAGCCATCTTCCACATCTCTGGCACAACACTGGTAAGGATGGACGCATTGAATACACTCGTTAATGGCTGACTAAGCTCCATCTTGCATTCCTTAAGTACCCTTGAAAACAACTCATCGGGTCCCGGGGACTTAATTTTGTTTCAGTTTGTCTATCTGTTTAATAACCATGTCCCTCGTGACAGTAATATTAGTTAACTTAAATTCATCAGGAACTAAATAATTGTTAATTACTGGAATCTCATTTACATCTTCCTGTGTAAAAACTGACAAAAAATAGTCATTAAATAAGGAACACATTTCCAGTTCATTATCCGTCAGCTGTCCATTCCCAGATTTCAGAGGTCCTACTTTTTCCTTCACCTTCGTCCTATACACTTGAAAGAACCCCTTTGGATTAGTCTTTGATTCATTAGCAACTCTAATTTCATAGTCACGTTTAGCCTTTCTAATCGCCTTTTTTACTTCTCTTTTAAGCTGAACATATTGTCCATTACTAGCAGGCACTTGAGATCCAATTTCTTTTCCAGGAGGTAATTGTTCACACTAGGGCCAAACACTTCACTGAACCACTTGACGAAAATTTCCCTTGTGACCCATGCCTTACTATTAGATTTCCAAAACACACACAATTTACTCTTCATAACATTGTTTTTCCTGAACACTCTGGGATTTTCAGAATGGCACACTAGTAATGGCTTCAATTTGAAATCCCCACTTGCATTAGCACAGAACATGAGCATCAGCCTGTCTTTCGTAGGTTTGTGTCCTGGCATTGCCTTTTCCTCCTGTGTAATGAAGGTCCTCTTTGGCATTTTCTTCCAAAAGAGGCCTGTTTTGTCACAATTGAACACTTGTTCAGATTTCAGTCCTTCAGCCTCTATGTACTCCTTTAATTCATGCATATATTTTTCAGCCGCCTTGTGGTCCGAACTGGCAGCCTCACCATGCCTTACCACACTGTGTATGCCAGTACGGTTCTTAAATCTCTCAAACCAACCTTTGCTGGCCTTAAACTCACTAACATCACCACTATTTGCAGGCAATTTCTTTACCAGATCGTTGTGCAACTGCCTAGCCTTTTCACAAATAATCGAAGTCATAAGATTTATCTCCTGTAATTGTTTCTCGTTTATCCACACCAATAATAACTTCTCAACATCTTCGAGTATGGTGATTCATTTTTGTCGCATATTTACCCCCTTTGCAACAACAGCTTCCTTGATTTTCTTTTTCTTGGCCACTATGGAACATATGGTTGTGTAGGGTTTCTTATACATCCTGGCCAGTTCGGCCGCACTTGTGCCACTTTCATATTGTTCAATGATGTTTTTCTTAAATTCAATCGTATTTCTCACCTTCTTTACCACAGGCTTGGCACTAGGAGCTTTCTTTGGAGCCATGGTAGCTTATTTAGTACTTGCAAGCACTAAAATGAGTGGAATATTATGAAATATTTCGTAGGAGCACGTGAGGGGACCTTCGCTCACTGGTAAACAATGCCAGACTATGTCATCCATCTCTGATATTGTTTTATTGTCACCTTTGAACCATTTATAATATTTCTGGTATATTTTTAAATGTTTTATACAATAGTGTACAATATATTGTAATAAATAGAATAGAAGAAATGAGCTCTAGTATACATTACTTAAGTATGCATACTGGTCAGAGAGTCCATCCTAAGTCCGAGTCGTCGGTAAACGAGTACATTAGCAGAGTTAGAGATGACCCCACATTTGCAAATATTTACTGTTAAAGACTTATTCACAGCATATTAAAGCTACTTAAGGCCCATCCTTCCCATTCCCATATTCCCCATTACTTAAGCTTCAAGATACTGAAGCCATTCCATTTAATTTTACCTCGATGGTAATTTACATTGCAAGCATTTGTGAAATATATCACAGAACAGGAGGGGCTCAGACCCACAGCAAATGAATCTTTAACCCTTTGAGGGTCCGTCCCATAGTTCGACGGCTTTAAAGCCAGGGTCCAAGTTGTACGTACTACGTCATGAGCTCAGATAAGCTGTGATCAGTAAATCTGGGCCTAGATATGAGAGAATGCATCTATGTGGTAAGTGTGTACCATATAAAACAAATCTTACAGTATGCGGTGAATTAGAAAAAAAAAAACTGCGACTGTGTTTTTGGATTAAAACAGTGACTATGTGGTGTATTTTCATATGGTTTTTAAGGTTGTATTCATGCTTTCTTGGTATCATTTGATAGAACCGAGGATATATATACACAAATAGAGATGATTCTGATTGGTTTTAGTACTGAAAAAAACTTAAAATTATTCTAAATGTAGTGGAAATGTTCGAGTTTTGCTAATGTTCAAGAGTAAACAAATCACATCATGCGTCTAATACATGTCAGCTGGTGGGTCTAATGTGCGTTCACGAATGCGCTGATATTATGTATACAATTATTACAACATAGCAAAACAGTAAATCTTCTATTTTTTGGTGTGAATAAAAATTCTTATGGGAATACAAAATCAAAATGGAATTCATGTATAAAACCTGGAAATGCAACTAATACACAGAGGAAATGTTATTTTAGTGCCAGGAATGCCTGCTTTGTTTATTCTGGACCCTATTTTGAAATTGGAATATTTTTAATTTTGTGTGAAGTTGGCCAAATCACTAATTTCTGATCACTTTATTGGGTAGTTGAAATAGTTGACTGGGCAATTTCTTGTGCTCAATAGATACAACAGAACACATATTAGTGAAATAGCTAAGAATCTGGTCTAATAGAACAATATAACTGGCCAAAAATAGGAGTCGTGATGGGCAAAATAGCTGATGCGTAAATATCACTGACACGGCAAAATTCATGAGAACAAAATTTTGTCAATTTATGATCAAATTTCATGCTTTTTGTTTTATTACCATCAGAAAAAGATTCTCTGCCATTTCATAAGAAAAAATTTTTTTTTTTTTTTTTTTTTTTTTGGGAAAATTCGTGGACCTGTGGAGAATTTTCAGACTGGGGGTCTGGACCCTCAAAGGATTAAACTCACAGCCCAGCATCCAGTATATTATTAACATTTAAAAACTTGAATTTAAAACTCACCTGAACCATCAGTCGCCACTTGAATTTATCATACTCGCAGTTACACTTCTCACATTTGTAGAGTCCATTGTCTAGGTTATGAACCTTCTTGTTGCAATTCTCACTTGGGCAGGCAGTGTAAAGAACATTTTCCCTTAACATTAAAATAATAGTTGCTTTATTTAAAAAGCAACTATTTACCTTCTTTTTACAGTCTTGATTCTCCATCTTGGCTTCAAAAAATGTTTTGAAGTTGTAACCCACACCTGAAGAAAAGCGATTTATCAATGTTATTTTAGATTTCTGGTGATTATGGCAGTCAAAGTAATCTTAACCCTTTCACTCTCGAGACCACTGATCCTGAACTTACTCTGTGTCGAAAAATATTCGAAAAAAAAAAAAATTCTTATGAAAATCTTAATATTTTTGAGTGTTTTAAAAGAAAAAAATGCGATCAATACTTACCAAGATATAGAGGCGTGAACTTGACAAAGTGAACCGCTGACGGCAACATCGGTGACTGCAGCTCACTCGGTAATATTATTTTTCTTTTATTCTACTTTCTTTTATTTTTTAATATTTTATTTTTCAAGTAACTTTAGTGGCCTGTTAGACTAATATAGTGCATAATGTATATATATCCACTTGATGTATGCAACACATAACCACACAAACATTATCATTATATGGTTTACAAAACATATTTACACAAACCAACAATAAAAAAAGTTGTTTATTACTTTTGTTCTATTATATATATACATATATATAGTCACTGGGCATGTTCCTAGAAGTGCTGCAGCTTGTGAACTTTTCGAAACAAGGTGTCATGCACAGTGGTGTTTCACACTCCTTACACATAAAATGCCTGTATTTTTGTGATCATTTTTTTGTATGTGCACAGACGTAACACCTCTTCTGAGCATTTTACTTGTTAGGAGGAGGCAGTTTTATTAGGTAGTGATCACCAGGCCTCAGACAAGAGGGTATTTGGTGATAATTCTGTGGGTGGTTTTCTATTCCAGGTGTTGTTACTTGGTACTTGAATATTATTTGTCTGATGACAGACAAACAAAATTCACCATATGGTGGTTTGTTTCTGGTCTTCAGCTTATGCATATTATAAGCATTGAGCATGGAAATGTCCAGAAGATTGAAAAAGTTTTATGCACCACTTATACCTCTTGTGAACACAATAAGCAAACTCAATTTGCATGTCACCTTTGTCCACTGAGCACATCACAGCAGCAGGTTTCAGGATGGGTTAATTGGTCTCTCTATTCTGCCTGCCACTGTCATTTCATTTTGGTGAATTGATGTCAGTGATGTGACATCTCGTTTGTCATGCCATTGAAATGCCATGATGTCATTGGCAGTAAACGCCTGCACCTCCCCTCTTCAAGTGCCTGCGTCAAACCTGGGCATATGCTTTCAATTTCCATGCACTATGCCATATTCACTTGCAAGAAATCTCTGAGTAAGGGGCTTGTGTACCATTTTATCAGTATATAATACAGTGGAACCTCTACTTGCGAGCGTGTCCACATGCGAGTTTTTCCAAATATGAGCAGTTGATGGGTCGATTTTTTTGCTTCCATACGCGAGCAAAATTTCCACAAGCGAGCAGACCTCAAAGCAGGTTCCTTGACGCTGGTGAGGGACTCTTGCTCTTGATCTTGGGAATTGTATCTCATTTGTTTGTTGGACTATCTTATTGAAACTTGGGCAATGTATGATGGAAAGATGCTTCGCAACGAACACCAAAAATGAAAGGAATCTAAACATAAATAATGGAGTTCACTTCTCAGCAATTAGCCACCCCTTTGCGGTAATTTCGAATGGTTTTTATGGTTGTATTCTCATTTTTTTGGTCTCATTTGATAGAATGGAAGATATATTACAGAAATAGATATGATTTTGATTGCTTTCATGATGAAAGGTGCCTTGAAATAGAGCTCAACCTAGAAGAAATGGTCCACTGCTTGGCTGTTTCAGAGTAAACATATGACATCACTGTCCATTCCAATATGCAGTCGCGAATGGGTTGACATTATTTGTACAATTATTGCAATAAGGAATAACAGTAAATTTTATATTTTTGGTGTGAATAAAAATTACAAATTATTTACATAATAATAATAATAATAATAATAATAATAATAATAATAATAATAGGTATAATAATAATATGTATAATAATAATACATATAATAATAACAGTATAATAATATAATACAATAACAATAATAATAATATGTATAATAATAATACATATATAATAATAATGTACTACATACAATAATTATAATAACAGACAGCTTCAAAAGGCCGTCACTAGATGGCAGTGTTTACCACAACAAAGAGTAGTGGTTGTGGCCGCCACCACCTGTTACATAATGACATATTTTGTTCATTCTAGAGTATATATCATGTTTCTATGTTATTTATATTGTTTGTTATGTCATATTAGATGAACTGGGATAGATAAATAAGCCGTATAGATGATAATAGCAAAATTAATAATAATCAATAATCATAATAGAAGAAGAAGAAGAAGAAGAAGAAGAAGAAGAAGAAGAAGAAGAAGGAAGAAGAAGAAAGAAGAAGAAGAAGAAGAAGAAGAAGAAGAAGAAGAAGAAGAAGAAGAAGAAGAAGAAGAGAAGAAGAAGAAGAAAGAAGAAGAAAGAAGAAAGAAGAAGAAGAAGAAGAAGAAGAAGAAGAAGAAGGAAGAAGAAAGAAGAAGAAGAAGAAGAAGAATAATAATAATAATAATAATAATAATAATAATAATAATAATGTTCCCATGAAGTATGAAAAACAAGCTTCAGTCCGCCCCTGACAGTGACGTGATGAGATAACATTAGACAAGAGCTGGCATTTGATGAGCATCAGCCCTTGCTTTGTTTTTCGCTGGTACACAAACATGTCTGTCTATTTGTCTGTCTGTCAAGCTCCCTGTCTGTCTGTCTATCTGCCTAGCTCTCTGTCTGAGAGAGAGCCACAAGAGAGAGGGTGAAGACATGTCACAGTGTGCTCCACAAACTTTCTAAATATTACTTAAATACGAGGGTTGGTGAGGATAAAAACTGTTCAGTGACAAAGTACTATCTACAACACATTAGTACAAGTAAGCCAACTCCTCCACTGAAGTGAATATAAGTAATATCAGTGATATTTAAGTGTGGTATGGTGAAGATATGGTGTGAGTGAGGGGACAGCGGCAGGCCTAGGAGTGACGTCACAATTGCCTTCACAGTGAGCATCTAATATTATATGTGTTTTGTGCTATGTACTAGCATCTGGGTCTTTATAACAACGTGACTGGTACAATGCAACACAGTGATTTGTGTAACATCTTCCATTAGTGGAAAAGTGGATAGCATAAACAGTGTTTATTAAGTGACAGTGAGAAGGCAACACTTCCAGCTCGTTGGCCACTGCCTGCCCTCACTACCCACCCTGCTATAAACACCCCCACCCACGATACTCCACCCCATCCATGATACCACCACCCACCCTCTCTCTCCTGTGAACTTAATTGCAAACCTACAAGCCTCCTCTGGGATGACTTCACATCGCAAAATAGCAAGAATATCTATGCTATCTGGCTATTGTCCCAGTAGTTACTGCAGTGTTTGTGGGTATACCACAAGGGACAAAATTTTTCTTAGACGTAAGGAACCTACTTGTTCCAACTACTGCCACACAGATTGCATTCCAGAAGAAGAATTTTGTTGCAGCCAGGTTGAAAATTTCAGAAAATTGAAGGATATCCATAATCCTGTGGTATATATGGATACAAGCCTGGAGCTACAGGAGGAAGGTTCAGAAGTCCTACCTCAGGGACTTCTGTCCAAAGATCAAGACTGCCCTCTGCCCTCTTGGGCTGCGTTGTAAAGTTGCAGCTAAGATAATCCATCACAGAGAAGCACTTCATGAGCTCCTCAAATCATTAGATAACCTCCAAGCTATTGTAGAAAGCCAGTGCAAGCCTACATCAGTGACGTAAGCTGTTCAGCTGATGGTGACACTATTGACAAAGACTGGAAGTCCCACACTGAGCTTAACTCAGGGGTAAATAACTGGTGGAATTCTGTCATCGCTAAGGTCCCACAGACTGACAGAGTTCAAAACACTACCTTTGGGAATTCTAACACAATTCCTCTGACCACCACAGAGGGAACAAATCCTCTTCCTAGCAACGAAGGAAACCTTGGATCTGTTAATTCTCCTACACCTGACATCTCTGCTTCAGCCACTGCCAGTCCACTTGACAGTGCACATACCATCTCTGATCCTACACCTGTCAGCACACCTGCCAACACTATTCCAGAATCTGGCAGCAGTGCTTCATCAGCAAGTTCTGAGTCAGGAGTTTCTCCACCAGAGATTGGTGCAGTTAATAATCAGGGAACTATCACTTCACCTGATCACCTACTGCGCCGAAGTACGAACAGCAGGGACACATCTGTCAGAACTGGTAGAGGACGGGGCAGAGGACGTGGAGGAGGAAGACATCTACAGTTGTCTCACCCTCCACTAACACAGTTCCAGCAGCAGAACCTGAGGACAAATCTGCAAAACACAGGAGGTGCAACAAATCATAGTCCACCCTCCCAGGCACCTAGGCTGTGCTCTCGCTGTCACCGGAAGGGGCACACAGCCAGCAACTGCCGGCAAGATACCAGGTGTAATTACTGCTACAAGAAAGGACATCAGGAGGACCAGTGTCGGAAGAAAAAGGAACTTGACAGACAGGACCACCTGTTTAGAGACCTGTTCTCAGAACAAACCAACTGGATCTCTGAATTGGTGAACACTCTCATACGTCACCCACTCAGCTACTCCTATCCCAGCCCAGCAGGTGGTATTGTGCCTTATACAAGACCACAGACCTACATCCCTGCAGCTTCCTCAGTACCCTACCTCTCTCAAGGGCAAGCACCTTAAATGCTCTACACACCCACCACCTCAAGTTGACCACATCATCATGAGGAGCCAGTCTATCAGCATCCTGTCGGCCAACATTAGAGGTTTCATTACTATTGTTGGAGAGTTCACACACATTTTGTGAACACTCGACGTCCCGACATGACAGCTGTTGTTGAAACATTTTTGGATGACAGGACTCCAGAAAAGTTTGCAAGAATTGCTGGCTACACCTCATGGATGAGAAGAGACAGGCAAGGGCAAGGAGGTGGTGTTGCTGTGTGCTTCTCTAAAAGTGTTCATGCCAGCACATTGATGTTGCCACCCCTACACATCT